AGAGAGAGAGAGAGAGAGAGAGAGAGAGAGAGAGAGAGAGGGTTCGTGTGTGTGTGCGTGACGACAGAGGGAGGGGGAAGAGGAGGGGGAGGAGGGGGAGGAGGGAACCTGAGGGAGGGTGAAATCTCGGTCAGCGGAGGCCGAGGGTGGGATGTTGGGAGGAGGCGGACGCGAGGTGGGCGGAGGGCAAGGGGAGATGGGAGATCCCAATGACGGAAGGGAGGGTTGGCACGCAAAGCGCGATGTGCAGCAGGTGGCGGGAGGAGACGGACGCGAGGTGGGGGGAAGGCAAGGGGAGATGGGAGATCCCAATGGCGGAAGGGAGGTGGGCGGAGAGGAGGTCGTCAGAGGCGGTCAGGAGGTCATCGGAGGCCGAGGGGAGGTGGGTGCGCACTGTTTAAAAAAAAAAAAAAAGGGGGGCCCGGGCAATCGGATGTCCAGCGGGATGGCGGATGTGCAGGCAGAGGAACGGAGCCCGGAGCGGAGGTGAGCGGAGGTGGAGGAGAAGTGGCGGAGGCCGAGCGGAAAGAGAGAGAGGACATGGCCAGAGGATGCGGACGGAAGGCGGACGGAAAGCGGACGGAAGGCGGACGGAGGCTGAGTGGAGATTGACGATCCCAATGGCGGGAGGGAGGTGGGCAGAGGCGGACAGAAGGTCGGCGCTGGCCGATGGGAGGCGAGCACGCACCATTTTTTTTGGTTTTTATTTTAAAAGGCGGGCATAAGGATGGCGCGTGTGTGGGCAGCGGAATGGAGGCGGAGAGGAGATGGCGGGAGGCGTACGGGAGGGCAGAGGTGGAGAGGAGATGGCGGGAGGAGGCGGACGGGGTGGCGGAGGTGGAGAGGAGATGGCGGGAGGAGGCGGACGGGAGGTGGCAGAGGCGGAGAGGAGATGGCGGGAGGAGATAACCGGAGGAGGCGGAGGGGAGGTGGCGGAGGTGGAGGGAAGGAGATGGCGGGGGGAGGCCGACGGAGGTGGGCGGAGACGGATGGGAGGTGATCCGAGGTGGGCACAGGTGGGCGGAGGCCGAGCGGAGGTGGGCGGAGGCCGAACGGAGGTGGGTGGAGGCCGAACGGAGGTGGCCGGAGGCCGAAGTCAGAGGCGATGGCGCAGGCCGCGATCGCTCCCTCTCTCTCTCTCACACACACACACACACACACACACAGAGGGGATAGGGAGGCGGGGGCGGAGGCGGAGAGGAGTTGGCGGGAGGAGGCAGACGGGAGGTGGCGGAGGCGGGGGAGGAAAGAGAGAGGATCTGGCGGGGGGACGCAAAGGGGAGCTGGGCGGAGGCCGAGCGGAGGTGGGCAGAGGCCGAGCGGAGGTGGGCGGAGGCCAAGTCCGGAGGTGGTGGCGCAGGCCGCTCCCTCCCTCTCTCTCTCTCTCACACACACAAAGGGGATAGAGAGGCGGAGGCGGAGAGGAGTTGGCGAGAGGACATCGCAGGAGGAGGTGGACGGGAGGAGGCGGAGGGGAGGTGGTGGAGGCGGGGGAGGAAAGAGAGGATCTGGCGGGGGGAGGCAGAGGGGAGGTGGGCGGAGGCTGAGCGGAGGTGGGCGGAGGCTGAGGCCGGAGGCGGTGGCGCAGGCCGCGATCTCTCTCTCTCTCTCTCACACACACACACACACACACGCACACACACACACACACAGAGGATAGGGAGGCGGAGGCAGAGGCGGAGAGGAATTGGCGGGAGGAGATCGTGGGAGGAGATGGCGGAAGGAGGCGGACGGGAGGTGGTGGAAGCGTGGGAGGAAAGAGAGAGGATCTGGCGGGGGGAGGCAGAGGGGAGGTGGGCGGAGGCCGAGGCCGCAATTTCTCTCTCTCTCTCTCTCTCACAGACACACACGCACACACACACAGGGGATAGGGAGGCGGAGGCAGAGGCGGAGAGGAATTGGCGGGAGGAGATCGCGGGAGGAGATGGCGGAAGGGGGCGGACGGGAGGTGGCGGAAGCAGGGGAGGAAAGAGAGAGTATCTGGCGGGGGGACGCGAAGGGGAGCTGGGCGGAGGCCGAGCTGAGGTGGGCAGAGGGCGAGCGGAGGTGGGCGGAGGCCGAGGCCGGAGGCGGTGGCGCAGGCCGCTCCCTCTTTCTCTCTGCCCCCCCCCCCTCTCTCTCTCTCACACACACACACACAGAGGGGATAGAGAGGCGGAGGCGGAGAGGAGTTGGCGAGAGGGGATCGCGGGAGGAGATGGCAGGAGGAGGCGGATGGGAGGAGGCGGAGGGGAGGTGGCGGAGGCGGGGGAGGAAAGAGAGGATCTGGCAGGAGGAGGCAGAGGGGAGGTGGGAGGAGGCCGAGGCCGGAGGCGGTGGCGCAGGCCGACGAATCTCAAACGCCACACCTGAGGTAAGACGACACCTTCCAAAAGAAGCCTAAAATTTGACAGGTGAGAAAATGCAGCATGAGGGCTGCAACACCCTCTTTCTCCCCAACCCCCT